TAAAGCAATGGCCGTAAGTGACGTATTTATGACATGCTGTATTATGCATATGTGTGTGTGTATGTGTGTATATATATAAATGTGTGTGTGTGTGTGTGTATGTATATATAATATACAAACCATCTTAATTACAGTACAGTACCGTATGTAGTTCTTTTTGTTATTACTGTATAATTATTATCATTATTGTGTACTGTATTGTCTTTTTCCTGATTTACCTACAAATTCAACTTAAAGACAGACATAAGGAAGGCTGTATTGTATGGTTTTATGTGATCCAAATACTTTATGTGTCACCTGGGCTTTTGCAATCTTTCAACAAGATCCAAAAATATCCCCATTTAGCTGTTCATGGCCGAAACTCTGAATGTCAAATGTACGAATGTGAAAAGATTACTGTATTTGCAAAACATTTTAATTCAAACATTAGCTTTAACCTTCACTCTCATCATCATTTGTCTGTCTCCATTCTATTTGCACAAGTATTCGACCCCTACACATGAATATTCTACAGAAACCTTTTGCTGCAATAACAGCCTTAATTCTTTTGGGGTAAATTAGTAACAGTTTTGCACATTGTTCAGAAGTTATTCTTCTTGGCAGAGTTTACAGAGGTCCTCTAGGTTGGTGGGACGGCACCTCTGAACAGCAGCTTTCAAATACTGCCGTAGATCCTCAATGGGGTGAAGATCAGGACTTTGACTCAGCCATTGGGGTTAAGATCAGGACTTTGACTCAACCATTCCAGAACATTCACCTTCCTGTTTTTGAGCCATTCCAGTGTCGCTTTGGCCTTATGCTTAGGGTTATTGTCCTGTTGAAAGATGAATCTTCTGAATCTTACATACTCACGCCAGCCTGCTGACCAAATCTGTCAGCCCTTCTTCCGCATACCGGAGTGGTACTGGACCCACGTACATCTTGAAATAAATAATTTCTGCTTGGATGTGGATTTGGGTGTTCAGTTATTTTGATGCCAGGCTACAGTTTTAGCTAACACTAAAATACAATGCAGATTTTTTCTTTTTTTTTGGAGCAAGAGGTTAGCGATTTCAGCGAGTCCTGGGTCTGCCCCGGGGCCTCCTCCCTGTAGGACATGCACGGAAAACCTCTCCGGGTAGCCGCCCAGGAGGCATCAGTACCAGATGTCCAAACCACCTCAACTGGCTCCTTTCGACGTGGAGAAGCAGCGGTTCTACTCTGAGACCCTCCCGGATATCTGAACTTCTCACCCTATTCCTAAGGGAGAGCCCAGACAACCTGTGGAGAAACCTAATTTCGGCCGCCTGTATTCGCGATCTCATTCTTTCGGTCATTACCCATAGCTCATGACCATAGGTGAGGGTACGGACGAAGATGGACCAATAGATCGAGAGCTTTGCTTTCCGGCTCAGTTCTTTCTTAGCTGCGACGAGCGGTTAAGCGCCTGCAAAACTGTACACGCCGCTCCGATTCGTCTGTCCAGCTCACCTACCCTCACTCGTGAACAAGACCCTGAGATACACTTGAGGCAGTACCTCTTCTCTGACCTGAAGAGGGCAATCCACCCGTTTCCGGCTGAGAACCATGATCTCGGACTTAGAGGTGTTAATCCTCATCCCCGCCGCTTCGCACTCGGCTGCGAACCACCTCAGAGCTCACTGGAGATCCCCAGCAGATGAAGCCAACAGGACGACATCGTCTGCAAAAAGCAGCGAGGCAATCCTGAGGCCACCAAACTGGACACCCTTGACACCCTGGCTGCAACTAGAAATCCTGTCCATAAATATTATAAACAGGACCGATGACAAAGGGCAGTCCTGGCGGAGCCCAAAACGCACTGGGAACGCGTCTGACTTATTCCTGGCAATGCGGACCAAGCTTCTGCTCCGTTCATACAGGGACCGAATCGCCCACAACAGAGGACCCTGGACCCCATACTCCCGAAGCACCTCCCACAGAGCACCTCGGGGAACCCGGTCGTAAACCTTTTCCAAATCCACAAAACACATGTGCTGTAGACTGGATAGGCAAACTCCCAGGCCCCCTCCAGTACCCTTGCAAGGGTATAAAGCTGGCCAAGTGTTCCACGGCCAGGACGAAAACCGCATTGTTCCTCCTGAATCCGAGATTCGACTATCGATCTCACCCTCCTCTACAGTACCCCGGAATAGACTTTCCCAGGGAGGCTGAGAAGTGTGATCCCCCTGTAGTTGGAACACACCCTCCGGTCCCCTTTCTTAAATAAGGGGACCACCACCCCGGTCTGCCAATCCAGCGGCACTGTCCCTGACCTCCACGCACTGTTGAGAAGTTGTGCCAGCCACGAAAGCCCCACAACATCCAGAGCCTAGGTACTCCGGGTGGATCTCGTCCACACCTGGGGCCTGGCCACCACATAGCTCTTTAACCACCCATGAGCACAGACTGGTAGACCTGCTGGTAGAGAGCTGCAGCAGTCAAGTCATGGGGTAACAATCGGCTGGACTGGAAGCTGAGCTGCAGACTCAGGCAGAAAAAGCCCGAAATGTGCATACACAACTTCTCCCCCAAAATCCTGGATTTATCAAACAACTTGACGGAGAAAAAATATGGGTAACATTTTACTTAAGGCCATGTTTTTAATCATTTATAAACACATTCATAATGCATTATAATCCATTCATAAAGAATTATAAATATGGCTATAAATATTTATAAAAAGCACATTATAGCCATGTTTATTATGCATTATGACATGTACCACCAAGATTATTTTTACTTGTTTATTTCACTGTGTAGTGTCTTTGTAATTTGTTTGTTTTGCATTAGGTTTATGTCTCCCTGCATTGTGGGTGAACAGGCATACATGACATACAACTACATTTGCAGGAATGTCCAGTTTTCTTAATGTAATCAGGCAATCAGCTACACTTACACTATACAGTAAGTAGACAGGAGAATGGACCAGTTCTGTCTGTAGTAAAGTCACATTTGTCAAAATGTCTGTCTTTTGCTGGACAGTGACAATAGTCATTAATGACTAATCTATGAATCTTGTGAAAGAACATCAGTGTTTAAAGTACAGAACTTTTTTCTCTCACTTGTTTAACTTTAAATTTAAAGTATTTCAAAATATTTTTGGCCAGTCCAGCTGGGAATTTGGTACCTTTTTATTCTTGATACCCCAGTGGCCTGTCAGAACCTGCTCATTTGGGCCTTTGATGATTGTCTTTCACTGCACCATGGATCGCGGCGACACTCATGCTGCTTCTCTTTCCTCTATGCACTTAGTAACCGCTCTCCATCTCTCTCCAGCTAGCTCAAGCTTGGGCACAAACTCCAATGCGTGCAGATGACGAAACTGATCCTTCTCACAAAAAAGGGAAAAAGGTAAGTCGATTTCAGGAGAACGGTCAAACTCCAAAGGCTGTCATGCACGTAGCATTAAAATTAATACCCCAGAACAAGATTTATGGTAAATGGTGATCAGTAAACTGAGCTGCACACGGGTGTAGTAAATGGTGATCAGTAAACTGAGCTGCACACGGGTGTAGTAAATGGTGATCAGTGAACTGAGCTGCACACGGGTGTAGTAAATGGTGATCAGTGAACTGAGCTGCACACGGGTGTAGTAAATGGTGATTTAACAATTTAACATTGGTTTTGTATGAGGTTTGGCCAGAAGGTTCAGGGGGATTTTTTTTGAATGACTAACAATGGTTTTGCAAAAATTAAGTAAGACAACATACTAAGATGAAATTGATAGTGAAGAAAACTGTTCTTCCAACTTGTTCTCCATGTACAGCCAGGAAGTTCGCTATACTGGACGGTCCAAGTGTTGTCGAATATGCCTGCTCTTGGCGCCCCTGGTTCTTTGTGGCTTTGTGATTTTCTACTACATCAGCACGGTCCTTTGTCAAAGGAGCAATCTGAAGACCTTTCACCCTATGCCACAGTCCTGGCAGAATCGGACGAAGCAGGAGCCAGCTGGTCAGAAGGCTCCATTGACGGAGAGCCCCCCCATTAATCCTCCGGTGGCTAAAACTCCAGGGCCCTATGAAATAATTTACCCGCACAAGTACCAGATCATCCTGAATGAGCCGGAGAAGTGCAAGGGCCAGGACCCTTTCGTGGTCTTGATGGTACCTGTCAGACCCGAAGACCAGGAGGCACGGGATATCATCCGCAGGACCTGGGGCAGTGAGAGTACAGTGCCTGGGGTAGTCATCCGCACGCTCTTTCTGTTGGGTGTCACCAACAGTCAGGAGACTTTACAGCAAAAGCTGATTGTAGAGGGTCAGGAGCACCACGATCTGCTGCAGTTTGACTTTCATGACAGCTATCGCAACTTGACCATCAAGACCATGCTGATGATGGAGTGGCTGAATACCTACTGCCACAATGCCCCGTATGCTGCCAAGGTTGACACAGACATGTTCCTCAATGTGGACTTGCTTGTGAATAAACTGCTGAATCCCCAGTCAGCACAGGCCAAACGGGACTACATCACAGGGGCAGTGGTCCGTGGCGGAATCGCACGGAGAGACCATGATTCCAAGTGGTACATGCCCGAGGAGGTCTTCTCAAAGGATACTTATCCATGTTATGTCTCTGGGAATGCTTACGTCTTCTCCATGGACCTTCCTGAGAAGATCCTGAGAGCATCCAATCATGTAAAGCCTGTCCATTTGGAGGATGTGTACCTGGGTATGTGCCTGGAGTCCTTGGGAATCTCTCCCAAGGACCCACCTAGTCCTGGCATGTTTCAGATGTGGTACCGTTCTTATGACCGCTGTCTCTTTTCTGGCTTCATCTCTGTCACTGGCATCCAACTGAAAGACCTGGAGAGGAACTGGGCCAATTTTCGACAGCCAGGTTCTTATTGCTGATGACAGACTTATTAATTTGTTTTCGTGAACTAGGAAAACCAAGCACCTTTCATGCTCACTGCCTCATGTAAGTGTGTGAGTGTGTGTCCTGTGATGGACTGTCATCCCTCCAGGATGCATTCAGCCTTGTACCTTCTGATCCTGGAATAGACTTACCTTTACCCTCAACTAAGTGGTAGTCAATGAGAACTGGTTGTTTATGAAAAATGGGTGAATGAAGAGCCATTTGTGGTGTACGTTTTGCCTTTTCAGAAAAAACATTTTCACATTAATTTCTTAACTATTCTCAACATTAATTAACAGTGGTTATCCAATTATCACACTATTTCAAGTGTGATATACAGTAAATAGATTTCATAATTGACACAGAAGAGACTATGCAATTTATGTTGTTGGCTTGTCTTTCAAAACATCTTTGTTTAATGGCTCATTTCTACAATAGAATAATTGTCTGCAAGATTTTATAAATGTGATGTTTTTAAAAAATAAAATGTTTATACATTTCATACTAAGTGGCCTAGCTGGGTGGCTGATTCCTGATCTGTATGCTAAAACCAGACATTGCAACCTGCAAAAACTCATTTCAGGGAGGTGCCCCCAACCCCCACATGAAGGGAGGTGTAACTTCAACAAACTTAATTTCACAGAACAGAATTTCTCTATTGCCTATATATATATAAATATTTGTTCATTAATTTTCTCTAGTCAGCACACTAAATTATGAAGTCCAATATTATGTATTATTTTGACAATAATATAAGTAGATTATTCTTTCACTATTTATGCAAATTCCTTAATTATATTCCATTGCTACTTTACAAAAGTCTTCAAGGAGTTTGGTCTTTTCATGACAGCCTTGGCAACTAACCAGGGGCTTGTACTACAAAGCTGGGTTACTGGCTTATCGGAGTAAATTATCAGATTTAAGGTAGTCTGGGCAAAATGAAAATGAACGAATATGAAGTCCATTTAAACTGTGGTACCTTGAATCCGACAAGTTACCCCGATAAGCCAGTAACCCCGCTTCGTAGTACAGGCCACAAGTGTCTAACTAGTGTAGACCAAGGTTATTATCGTCAACGAAAACGAACGAAATAACGAAAACTAGAATTGAAAAAACATTTTCGTTAACTGAAATAAATAAAAACGACAATTAAAAGAAAAAACGATAACTAACTATAACTGTATTGTGTGTTGACAAAACTAAAACGTACTGAAATTATAGATGAAATGTCCTTCGTTTTCGTCTTTGTCAATTTATTTATAAGTTGATTTATTTCGCTCTAGCAGTTTTACGTGAGCTGGCGGCACCGTACGGCACCTCTCTGTCCGTCACTTCTTGTTTACAGTCGGCTTTTGCTCACCGCGTTACCTGGAAAAATGGCGACGACAAAAGTTGGGAGAAGGCGGCAGAGTCCTATCTGGAATTTCTTTGACTATGACAGCGAGACAGATAAGAGCAGGTGCATTGTAGAAACAGGTGACAAAATATGTGGGATACTTCTCAAGGGAAAAACCCCCACAAATCTGAAAGTCCACTTGAGAAGCTTGCATAAGACGGCTAATCGCGAGTACCTTGACCAAGTAGCCTCTCTGATTAGCTCCCCCGAAAGAGAAGCAACATCCCGGCCAGGTAGCACCGGGAAGGAGGAGACAACCATAATGGACTGCTTTCACCGACGACCAAACAGCTGCTGGTTAGTAAATACGCAGGAACCCCACAAGACTTAATTTCCTTTTTGTTTACAATATTGGACTTATGGTTAACATACAAAAGCAAAGCACATCGGCATCAAGCCCCCGGGGAAGACCCAGGACACGCTGGAGAGACTATATGTCTCGGTTGGGCTGGGAACGCCTCGGGATTTCCCCAGAGGAGCTGGAGGAAGTGGCCGGAGAGAGGGAAGTCTGGGTTTCCATGCTGAGACAATTCTGTTGTACAATGGTTTTTGAGTTTGTTAATGTTTTTCTCAGATTGAGCTCCCTGAGACTCCTGGCTGTCAAGAAATGTGACGTGTGCCTCCTGAATGGGTTTATATTCTTATGTTCATGTGTGTCTTTAGTCTATTGGCTATTTTGATTTGTACCAGGCACACTACCTGTATCCAACATCAGAAGCAGTATCACACACATTTTGCACATAAGCTGCTATCTTGTAGAGTGTTGGTTGTTGTGGATGGTTGGTTGTTCAAAAGTAACTGAATAAACTTTTTGAAATGGTTTCCTTTGTTGAGTTTTATTACACAATACTTACTGATCTTTTTGAATCCTGCACCTGACAAATAACCCAAAGTATGAAAAAATGAAAACTAATACTAAAACTAATAAAAACTAAACTAAAACTAAGCATTTAGAAAATTTTTTAACTAACTAAAACTAGCAAACCTGCTCTAAAAACTAATTAAAACTAACTAAATTAGAGGGGAAAAAGGTCAAAACTAAATAAAACTAAACTATAATGAAAAATCCAAAACTATTATAACCTTGGTGTAGACCTGAATAATACAGCACATGAAATGACACTTGTTAAACTCACCTCAACATGCCTTTTACAGTCGTTTAAACCATAATGAGCGATGCTGAAATCACTGTTGTAAAGAGTATAGTGCACATCATGTCATTTTTTTCATCCTTACTAAACAAGGATACACTTTTGTGTAGTCTGAGGTGAAATGCGTTTTATATGTTCGTTTTTTGGGGCACTCTCCCTCTGTCATGATGCTCCACAGAACCAATAACTTTGGTCCTCGAGAAGTTAAATAAAAGCCCGCCTGCACTGAAATCTGGTTTATTTTGCCAAGTAAAAGCAATCAGGATGCTGTCTGTCTAGCACAGGCTACATGAACAGGCACACACGCAGTGATCCACACAAACGCATGTTTGTCTCTGTCTCGCTCATTCCGTCGTGCACGCGCTTCTCTCAAGTGCGCGATGCACATGCTACTGTCTCGCATGCATGCTCTTGTATGCTTGCTCTAGTTTCCTGGATATTTTATTCAATTTGCGGGCATCTGGGAGCCGATGTCAATATGCAGGAGACTCCCGGAACTTCCGGGAGACTTGGGATGTCTGTAAAACTAGGTGTTCAGTGAGAGCCGAAGCAGCACTGTACATATATTTTATGCACTTGTGTGCTAATCCTTTTTGTCACCTGCTGACCTTCATGGTTTTTCTGCGGCTTTTTCGCAAAACTAAATCTAGTTCATATTGACCCCACAATATATCGAAACCATCATGGGGAAAGTCACAATGAAGACGTATCAACTACATGGAACCTATACGATAATCATAAATAACCATAAATATCCTTTTTCTGTTTTGTACCATGCCATTTTATTGATGTCAGTTTCATGGTAGATGAAGTTGCTGGAGTAGCACTGTGGTCTGTCCTTCTTGTTAATCACCAATCATACCACACAGGAGCTCTGCCTGCAGACATTAATCACCAATCATACCACACGGGAGCATTAATGTCTGCAGGCAGAGTTCCCTTGTGGTATGATTGGTCATTAATGTCTGCAGGCAGAGTTCCCTTGTGGTATGATTGGTCATTAATGTCTGCAGGCAGAGTTCCCGTGTGGTATGATTGGTCATTAATGTCTGCAGGCAGAGTTCCCTTGTGGTATGATTGGTCATTAATGTCTGCAGGCAGAGTTCCCGTGTGGTATGATTGGTCATTAATGTCTGCAGGCAGAGTTCCCTTGTGGTATGATTGGT